CTGACAGGAATGAAGTGGTTCACTACCCTGGACCTAAAAAGTGGCTACTGGCAGGTGGAAATAGACACTAGAGACAAAGAGAAGACTGCATTTTCCACAGGAAAGGGTCTGTGGCAATTCAAGGTCATGCCCTTTGGGCTGTGCAATGCCCCTGCTACTTTCGAAAGACTTATGGAGCTAGTACTCACTGGATTGAGTGGGGATGCCTGTCTTGTCTATTTGGATGATATAATTATCGTGGGCCGCACATTTAAGGATAATCTTCGAAACCTAGAACGAGTGTTATTGAAAATACGAGGAGCTAATCTCAAATTGAGCCCGAAAAAATGCGCTTTCTTTAGACGGCAAGCTAAATTCTTGGGACATGTTGTCTCGGAAAAGGGGGTGCAGACAGACCCGGATAAAATCGTCGACGTAAAAGATTGGCCAGTTCCAAATGACAAAACAGGAGTTAGAGCTTTCTTGGGCTTATGCTCCTACTATCGTCGGTTTGTGAAGGATTTTGCTGATATTGCCAAACCACTGCATAAACTTACTGAAGAGAAGGCACGATTCTGCTGTGACGAGGGTTGTGATATTGCATTCCAGGAATTAAAGGAGCGTCTGTGCAACACGCCAATTTTGGGCTACCCTGACACTGGAAATGACTTTGTAGTTGACACAGATGCGAGTAACACGGGGATCGGCGGAGTTTTGTCTCAACGAAAAGTAGATCAAGAATCGGTTATAGCCTACTTCAGCAAAGTCTTATCCAAACCGGAAAGAAATTACTGCGTGACAAGAAGGGAATTACTTGCCGTAGTTAAAACCTTGCAACATTTTAGCAACTACTTGCTTGGACGAAGATTCCGCTTGCGTACAGACCATGCTGCGTTAAAGNGGGATGGTGGAACGATTTAATCAGACGTTGGAAAGGTACCTGGCAAAAGTCATAGAGACTCAGCAACGAGACTGGGACAAACACATTCAACCATTTTTGTTGGCATACCGAAGCGCGGTCCATGAAAGTACGTCTGTGACGCCAGCCTTTGCAAACTTTGGAAGAGAACTACGATTGCCCGCAGATTTAATTACTGGTACCCCGCCTGATAGTCCACGTAGCATGACTGACTATGCGGACGATTTACGTCATAAGATGAATGACGTATATGACCACATCCGACAGACCAGCCAACAAATGTCTGAAAGGATGAAGACCCGATATGACCGGAAGGCGAACAATCAAGGCTTCGAAGAGGGTTCCTTAGTGTGGTTACATAATCCTGTGCGCAGCAAGGGAAAGTCCCCTAAATTACAGCCGAGGTGGGACGGGCCATATCGTGTCGTGACTAGAATCAACGATGTCACCTACCGAATACAGAAGAGGTCGAGAACTGCACCCAAGATTGTTCATGTGGATCGTTTGGCGCGGTACTATGGGTGTAATGATGCTCGGGACGAGCATGCCTTAAGAGGAGGGCAGTGTCGCGCCGGCTCTAAGAAAAGACTAGCACCATGATGCGGAGAGTGGCGAAACTAAAAAGAATGTTTTTGAAAAGAAAAGGAAAAAAAGAACAGTTCGAAAAATTAGGATGTTCGAGAAGATTTGTGTTTTTCTTTTGACGAGTTATATAACGTTTTTGTTTTTTTAGTGTATCTAAGTAAAAGTGTCAGTTTTGGCAAACTGTGTTCTGAATTTATATCCCGAGCCCCATAGCTCGTAACAATAATGTAACCAATTGTTATTATCTGAATCTGTAAATACTCATTTGTAACCTTGTTTGTATCAAACTTAGCTATGTATTTTCTCATGTAATCTGTAATATCATTGTAACGAAAGCAATGCAGGCACCCATGGTGCCTCCCATGCCTTCTCTTAACACTATTCTCTCTCCCTTTCTTTTCACACTTCGATCTCATGCTTTCTCCTTCCTTCTACTTCCCACAGAGCAAAGTCCGTAGCAACAAAAAACGGATAGCTCTCTTACCTCTTTATCTCAATGTCTCAATGTAGGCCTATTATCGTACAATTCAGGAAAATCGCTGTAGAGGAAATCGCCGTAAACTTTGATGTTAGAAACAATAATGTAACGAAACAATGGGCGTCATCGTTTCGTTACATTATTGTTTCTAACATCTATGTTTATATCAAAATATATTATCATACAGTAGAGCCTCGATTATCCGACCTAATTGGGGACTGGGGTTGGTCGGATAATTGAAAGGGCGGATAACCGAAAAATATGAAAAAATCCATTATTAGTGTAGTATATTATTATATCCCATGTAATTAGTATATTAGTATATTAGTATATCGCTATTAACCTACTTTGCGCTAAATTTTCATCGATGTTAAGCCTAACAAAAATTTTTAAAAATAATAATCATCGCTATTGTATCGTTAAAAATTAGAAAAATAGGCCTCGTTTAAATACTGGCTCCCTTTCATGGTCGATCCACTGTTGCCAGCTAAAACACGTAAAAATAATATTAAAGTAACGAAGACATAGCCAAATATTGTAGCGCCACATCAAATATTGTAGCGGACATTTGAAATTTGCCGACTAGGACGGTCGGTTAACCGAGGGGTCGGTTGATAGGGGGTCGGATAATCGAGGCTCTACTGTATTACTAAACACCATTTAGAAAAATCGTTATAAAAAGTTTTAACTGGCATAAATTTACATTTTGTTATTTTGGCGAACAGATTCAATGAAACTCATTTGGTTCCATGCGATTTTATTTTTATAAGCATAAAATTAAGCCATAGAACTAAAATAACACTATGGGAAAACACCACAAACTTTCACTTATAGATCCGGAAGTTTCTCCAGAACCTCACTGATAACGAGAAAAGCTGAAAATTTTATCTTTCTAGACCTTAATATCCACCAGACAATACGAATGCTTATCGTACAATATTCAACACACACAATATCAAAAACAATTGAACGCAATTAAGTTTAATTCGGAACGATTAATTAAATCATTTAAACGTACAATTAAAGTGTAATTAATTATAATTAACAAAATCATACAATAAATATTATTTTAAAAAACATATCTTTTAAATACTTATATATTGAATCAGTCAAGTGTGAACTGATTCGGGCTAAAAGACATCATCAAAAAATCTGTGTATTCGGATGTCTCCTTCTTGAAGACGTTTGTTCGGATCCTGAAAACACAAGAAATTATAAAAATTAATTACAACGGTTGATTCTGTTTTAATTATATTTTTATCTTTAAACTTTCAAAGTCAACTCGTATTACAGTAAGTTATTCAGCTTCTGATCACTCATTAAAATTTGATTATCACAAACATTGAAATTGAGTATTCAACAGTGTTGATTAAACAAACTGAATTAGTTATTCAAATATTCACCTAATTATTCAGAAAGTGTGTTCAAATGTATTTACGTTATTAAATAAACGCGTTTCTTATTAACTACATAAAATTTATGAAATTCTTGTATCAAACAACATAAATACATCGAGATATAACGAAATATAATTATGCAAATGGAATGTGTCATATAACTACAGTAAATATTATAATCTTACTTTTTGTAGTAAATTCTCGATCATGTCTACGGCATTCATCGACAGTCGCATAGCATACTGCAACTGAACATTTTGAGCCACTGAAAAGTCACGCTTACATTAATCACATCGTTTTACTTTATTGTTAACAAATTAAAAATAACAATTGTTTACTTTTGGCTATCTCGATAAGTGACGTCGGGACCATATTGTTAATAATGTTAATTGTTTTCAAATAAATATCCATTAGAGTTTGTCCAATTAACATCTGGTGTAATATGATTCCAAATGTCCACCAATCGCAGTAAGCATCTAAACGTAATACATATTAATTATAAGAATTAAACGAAATGATTCGATTAAATTCGAATAGAGCAACTTACCGTATAGTTTTTTCTTAAGAATTTCTGGACAAAGATAGAACAAACTCCCGCAATAGTCTTAGGGATTTCGTTCATACTGACTGAAAGAAACGACAATGTCGCATGAAATGCGTACCTCTGCGAAACTTAGGATATTACAGTATACAATACTTACTGTGCACAAATCGAAATCGATTAACTGTACTTCTTTGGTTTTATCTAACATGATGTTGCTGGAGCTAATGTCCCTATGAATTATTCTTGTCGAAGACAGAAACAAATTCGTCATACAATTTGCATTTGTGAAGAAATAAATAAAGAAATATATTTAGAAAAGCACATTTGTTATGAATAAACGTGATGGCCGAAGCCACTTGAGCAGCAAATATTTTCGCTTTGGCTTCCTTCAGAAATTCGTTGTATTGTAAGTAAGTTGTCAAGTCCAGTCCGTCCACGTAGTCGGAGACACTAACAGAAACTAAAGAAAAGAATTATTAGTCCATAAAGCCTAAAATATTCTCAATAAATCAAATCAGAACGGTTAAAATTTACCTTGTATTCATTTTGAAATAACTTATTAACGTCACAATATGAGGATGGCTCGATGCGGACGTCCATGCAGTTTTTTCTTTCTTTATTATGCGCCTCTATAAATAAAGACATTTTCTTAATATATTCCTACACTAAACTAAGAATATTCTGTAGATATTTCTATTTAATGTTTGTAGAACATCGCTTAGTGCATCATCAGTAATTAAATAAATTTTGATAAACGTGTAATAACATAAATAATGTGTGAATTGATGTTTTGTGAAGTCAAGAATAATTTAATAAACATGTTCTGTTTTTTCACGCCGTATTACAATCGAAAACAAAGCTTAAAGCATACCTGTGAGAGACAAAAGCGCTCCATCTTGACGGCTTTCAAAGCCAGTTTTTCATCCGAATTTTTACACCGAGCCAAAAAAACTACCGAAATTGCCCTTTCCTATTTCTGTAATCTCGTAATTGCCATTAAGAATGTGTTCATTATATTTTGACGAATTTGGTCGAATTTGAGAACGTGCCGGATTATTTTTCAATTCGCATTTCTAAAATTGCAGAATCTTTTAATTAGAAACTTCTTTAATTAAAGGATTGTATAAAGAACGAGAACTTACCTGTGAATCGGAAATCTCGCCCGACATACAACAACAGAATTTATAGAATGCATTTCTGCAGAATTCTATAAATTTTCTTCTTTTTGAATACTCGTCTGGGAACTGTGAACTGGTATCCTCTCCATTTGAATGGAGACACTTTGTTCCAAGACAATTTTCGTCCAACTAACAAAAATCAATAATAAAAGTCGTTTACGCATACAACGTTTACGAAAAAAGTATTTAAAACTTCTTTAGAAAAGTAAAGACTTACTCAATCTTAGTCATAAATAACGCTGATTTTCGTAGAGAAAGAGTAATATCTTACCTTTGTAGGACAAACTGTAACTTGCTGACCATTTGGCTCAGCATCATCATCTCTCCTGTAAGGATATTCGATTATATCGTAAGTAATATTAAATAAATCTCAATTATAAATGTAATTAATGAAGAAATTTACCCTTTCTTCTTCTCCTTATTACTTCGCATTCGCAAGAAAACCTTCTTTAGGCAGCGTATGATTTTCGCTTCGCAATCGCAACAACAGAATATTGTTAACTGCAGTTTATTGTTAAGAATTGTTGTAAGTCATTGTGATGAAATTACTTTTTATATGAAATCACTTGATTAAATATATGAAATTTCATTTGCGTATTAAAATGAGTCTTATCATTGTTTTAAATGTCCATTTGTCTTTCGTTGCCATTAAAACGAAAAGTTTAATTTCTGAGAATTAATAAAGTTAGACATTTATAATAGACGCTTTTATTTTTCTGTATCTTCAGCTTGTGTTAAAAGACATTACACTTGGATGGCTCCACTCAAAAATATGTACAAGTTCTCTATAGGAACCGATATCTCCGGAAGTAGTTCGGTTGTCTCTTCAGAAGCGCGAATAAGCATCATAGCCGTGAAGAAATGAATTTATCCGTTGTTAATGAAATTGGAGTGAGTGATACAGAGGATGAGGGACACTTTAATCGTTACGATTAAACAATAATAAAGAATCGCTTTGCACTTATAATAACTTAGAAAGTCGTGAAATAAAAAAAAAAAAAAAAACATTTTTATAGTAATTGTATTGTAAACTAGCTGTTACCCGCGACTTCGCCCACGGAGGTTTTGCAAGCAAACCCCATTTATATTCAGTATTTCAACAGCCATAGTAATTGTTATATAACACCTACCGCATGCAATAACAATATCAAATTTAAAACGGTTCGAACATTTGCTTTAAAAAAAGGAATATATAAAAATATTTATAACAATGTCTGAAATGTTATCAATTTAATACACTTGAGTACTTAACGAAGACTAAACGTTGTTGAAAACAAAAAATCGCATCTAAAATAGTACGCAATCAATAATACGCAAATAAAAAATCGCATCTAAAGTTTTCCCAGGGGAAATTTCGAAAAATTCTTTTTTAGTGTGCGTTTCCATGACATACCCTAAGTGTGTATCAAAGTTCATGTCGTTAGGTTCAGCGGTTTGCTCCGGGCGATAATGAATCAGTGACTCAGTCAGTCAGTGACTAAGTCATTTAGTCAGTCAGTCAGTCAGGACAACTAATTTTATATATTTAGATAAGTTGTAAGATAGAGCATTCTGTAAATCTCTAATGTATTTTAAAAATGGCATTTAAGTATCGAATATATTTTATATACAGTCGACCCCCTATAACACGCTAGATACGTTTTGTGTTATATGAATTCCGTGTTGTATGAGTCACTTAAATACCTGAGCCAATCACAGCTCGGCACATGTGCAGTTTAGCGGCTACGGCTGTTTGAAATGTTTTCTTCCATAAAATTAACCGATTCTAGACTAATTTGACTCAACATTTTCAAAACACGTATAATTTTTTGGGAATAATCCATATAAACTATGCTATAAACAAAAAAAATTGTAGGATTACTTCCGAGTGTGCATCGTTCGACGACGCCATTGCTTAAGCTTGCTTTCGTCGCGGAGCGGCGCATCGAACATTAAATTAATTAAAAAACTGCAAGTGGACAACATGAAACCGTGGGACGGTTCAACTAACGAAGTATTCGACCGGTCAGACGAGGGCATCGGGGACGATGTCAGCTGTCAGGATGGCCGAATGTGGGGTTTAGACGAGTAACATTCCTAAACCGTTAAAACAATAAATTTACGACGGTTTGCGGGGGAGACTAGGAGAACGAGGGAGAGAGTCAAGTAAGGGGAGAAGTGAGAAAGAGGGAAAAAGTCAAGTAAGGGGAGAAGTTAAAAAGACGACAGTTGGTGACGACGCGAAAGTGAGAAAGGACAAAAGACGTTACGAAGGCAAGAATATTATCATTGTATCAAGACGGTTACGACGGTTACGAACGCTGGATTATTGTCATTTCTATTTCTCTATCTCAATAACTATTCCTACATTAACTACGATATAATCGAATTTTTTTATAGGAGAGATGATGATGCTGAGCCACGTGGTCAGCAAGTTACAGATTGTCCTACAAAGGTAAGATATTAACTCTTTCTCTAGGAAAATCAGCGTTATTTATGACTAAGATTGAGTTAGTCTTTATTTTTCTAAAGAAGTTTTAAATACTTTTTTCCGATAACGTTGCAAGCGTATTTGAAATAAATTTGTCGCCTCCTCGTTAAAATAAGATTGTCGGAAAAAAAAATCAAATATCGATAGAAACTTATAACTTTCCTCTTTAATATAAACATTCAACCCTCGAACAATGATATTCCTCTGCTGCAAGACAAAAAGTTTATAGTTAAAGTCCGAATTCGTCATTTTGTTTTGGTCCCAAAAACAACTTTAATCTCCATACCTGCAAGACCGAATCTACCTCTCACAATAGGGGATCACATGACTACTTTCCCCAGCCTCGGGGTAGTTTCTCATCTACGGCTGGTCAGAAAGGATTAAGTCTCGAATAATTTTAACTTTGTGCGTCGATCGGAAGAATAAAGGCATAAACCTAACGTCTCCGTTTAAATCTACTAAAGGTATGGAACAGATAATGTAAACTCTCTCTCCGGAGGTTGGAGCTAGCGAACTAAATTCATTTCTCAAGATGTCAGATTTTGTAATCGTTAATTTTCGTTAATCTAATAAATCGTTGTTTCCGTTGTTAAATGGTGTCATTTACTCGTATATCGCCTACGCCTCGTCGACGACCCCTCTCACCTCCTCCACTCGACCTGACAAAAAGAATCCCGACCATTCGAGACCGCATTCGAAATTTAGCCATCTTGACAAGTGATCAAGTTTAACGACCTGTAACCGAAAAGGGAGAGTCGACGGTTCCGACCTCCCTGGCGGTTCACACTTTTATTATTGATTTTTCTTAGTTGGACGAAAATTGTCTTGGAACAAAGTGTCTTCATTCAAATAGAGAAGATTCACAGTTCCCAGACGAGTATTCAAAGAGACGAAAATTTATAGAATTCTGCAGAAACGCATTCTATAAATTGTGTTGTTGTTGTCGTATGTCGGGCGAGATTTCCGATTCACAGGTAAGTTCTCGTTCTTTATACAATCCTTTAATTAAAGAAGTTTATAATTAAAAGTTTCTGCGATTTTAGAACTGCGAATTGGAAAATAATCCGACACGTTCTCAAATTCGACCAAATTCGTCAAAATATAATGAACACATTCTTAATGGCAATTACGAGATTACAGAAATAGGAAAGGGCAATTTCGGCAGTTTTTTTGGCTCGATGTAAAAATTCAGATGAAAAACTGGCTTTGAAAGCAGTCAAGATGGAGCGCTTTTGTCTCTCACAGGTATGCTTTAAGCTTTGTTTTCGATTGTAATACGGCGTGAAAAAACAGAACATGTTTATTAAATTATTCTCTACTTCAAAAATCATTAATTCACACATCATTTATGATATTACACGTTTATCAAAATTTATTTAATTATTGATGATGCACTAAGCAATGTTCTATAAACATTAATCAGAAATATCTACAGAATATTCTTAGTTTAGTGCATATTAAGAAAATGTCTTTATTTATAGAGGCGCGAGATAAACAAAGAGAAAACTACATGGACGTCCGCATCGAGCCATCCTCATATTGTGACGTTAATAAGCTATTTCAAAATGAATACAAAGTAAAGTTTAACCTTTTTCATTCGATTTATTAAAAATACTTTAGGCTTGTATGGACTAATAACTCTTTTGTTCAGTTTCTGCTTCGTCTCCGACTACGTGGACGGACTGGACTTGACAACTTACAGTACAACGAATTTCTGAAGGAAGCAAAAGCCAAAATATTTGCTGCTCAAGTGGCTTCGACCATTACGTTTATTCATAACAAATGTGCTTTTCTAAATATATTTCTTTATTTATTTCTTCACAAATGCAAATTGTATGACGAATTTGTTTCTGTCTTCGACAAGAATAATTCATAGGGACATTAGCTCCAGCAACATCATGTTAGATAAAACCAAAGAAGTACAGTTAATCGATTTCGATTTGTGCACAGTAAGTATTGTATACTGTAATATCCTAAGTTTCGCAGAGGTACTCATTTCATGCGACATTGTCGTTTCTTTCAGTCAGTATGAACGAAATCCCTAAGACTATTGCTGGAGTTTGTTCTATCTTTGTCCAGAAATTCTTAAGAAAAAACTATACGGTAAGGTGCTCTATTCGAATTTAATCGAATCATTTCGTTTAACTCTTGTAATTAATATGTATTACGTTTAGATGCTTACTGCGATTGGTGGGCATTTGGAATTATATTACAGCAGATGTTAATTGGACAAACTCTAATGGATATTTATTTGAAAAAAATTAACAATATTAACAATATGGACCCGATGTCACTTATCGAGATAGCCAAAAGTAAGTAATGTTATTTTTAATTTGTTAACAATAAAGTAAAACGATGTAATTAATGTAAGCGTGACTTTTCAGTGGCTCAAAATGTTCAGTTGCAGTATGCTATGCGACTGTCGATGAATGCCGTAGACATCATCGAGGATCTACTACAAAAGGTAAGATTATGATATTTACTGTATTTATATGACACATTCTACTTGCATAATTATTTTTTACTAGCTTACCCGTCGCGCATTGCTGCGATCTCAGAAGAAACGAAATTCTAGCAAACTCGTTTTAAGATAAATTTCAATTTACATTTTATCATTTTTATTGAAACTTATTATTATTATTCATTTTCATCGAGAAAACATTTCAAAGTGTCGTTTCAATTCTATTTATTTATTGGAGTGCTTGTNCGGAGGTTTTGCAAGCAAACCCCATTTATATTCAGTATTTCAACAGCCATAGTAATTGTTATATAACACCTACCGCATGCAATAACAATATCAAATTTAAAACGGTTCGAACATTTGCTTTAAAAAAAGGAATATATAAAAATATTTATAACAATGTCTGAAATGTTATCAATTTAATACACTTGAGTACTTAACGAAGACTAAACGTTGTTGAAAACAAAAAATCGCATCTAAAATAGTACGCAATCAATAATACGCAAATAAAAAATCGCATCTAAAGTTTTCCCAGGGGAAATTTCGAAAAATTCTTTTTTAGTGTGCGTTTCCATGACATACCCTAAGTGTGTATCAAAGTTCATGTCGTTAGGTTCAGCGGTTTGCTCCGGGCGATAATGAATCAGTGACTCAGTCAGTCAGTGACTAAGTCATTTAGTCAGTCAGTCAGTCAGGACAACTAATTTTATATATTTAGATAAGTTGTAAGATAGAGCATTCTGTAAATCTCTAATGTATTTTAAAAATGGCATTTAAGTATCGAATATATTTTATATACAGTCGACCCCCTATAACACGCTAGATACGTTTTGTGTTATATGAATTCCGTGTTGTATGAGTCACTTAAATACCTGAGCCAATCACAGCTCGGCACATGTGCAGTTTAGCGGCTACGGCTGTTTGAAATGTTTTCTTCCATAAAATTAACCGATTCTAGACTAATTTGACTCAACATTTTCAAAACACGTATAATTTTTTGGGAATAATCCATATAAACTATGCTATAAACAAAAAAAATTGTAGGATTACTTCCGAGTGTGCATCGTTCGACGACGCCATTGCTTAAGCTTGCTTTCGTCGCGGAGCGGCGCATCGAACATTAAATTAATTAAAAAACTGCAAGTGGACAACATGAAACCGTGGGACGGTTCAACTAACGAAGTATTCGACCGGTCAGACGAGGGCATCGGGGACGATGTCAGCTGTCAGGATGGCCGAATGTGGGGTTTAGACGAGTAACATTCCTAAACCGTTAAAACAATAAATTTACGACGGTTTGCGGGGGAGACTAGGAGAACGAGGGAGAGAGTCAAGTAAGGGGAGAAGTGAGAAAGAGGGAAAAAGTCAAGTAAGGGGAGAAGTTAAAAAGACGACAGTTGGTGACGACGCGAAAGTGAGAAAGGACAAAAGACGTTACGAAGGCAAGAATATTATCATTGTATCAAGACGGTTACGACGGTTACGAACGCTGGATTATTGTCATTTCTATTTCTCTATCTCAATAACTATTCCTACATTAACTACGATATAATCGAATTTTTTTATAGGAGAGATGATGATGCTGAGCCACGTGGTCAGCAAGTTACAGATTGTCCTACAAAGGTAAGATATTAACTCTTTCTCTAGGAAAATCAGCGTTATTTATGACTAAGATTGAGTTAGTCTTTATTTTTCTAAAGAAGTTTTAAATACTTTTTTCCGATAACGTTGCAAGCGTATTTGAAATAAATTTGTCGCCTCCTCGTTAAAATAAGATTGTCGGAAAAAAAAATCAAATATCGATAGAAACTTATAACTTTCCTCTTTAATATAAACATTCAACCCTCGAACAATGATATTCCTCTGCTGCAAGACAAAAAGTTTATAGTTAAAGTCCGAATTCGTCATTTTGTTTTGGTCCCAAAAACAACTTTAATCTCCATACCTGCAAGACCGAATCTACCTCTCACAATAGGGGATCACATGACTACTTTCCCCAGCCTCGGGGTAGTTTCTCATCTACGGCTGGTCAGAAAGGATTAAGTCTCGAATAATTTTAACTTTGTGCGTCGATCGGAAGAATAAAGGCATAAACCTAACGTCTCCGTTTAAATCTACTAAAGGTATGGAACAGATAATGTAAACTCTCTCTCCGGAGGTTGGAGCTAGCGAACTAAATTCATTTCTCAAGATGTCAGATTTTGTAATCGTTAATTTTCGTTAATCTAATAAATCGTTGTTTCCGTTGTTAAATGGTGTCATTTACTCGTATATCGCCTACGCCTCGTCGACGACCCCTCTCACCTCCTCCACTCGACCTGACAAAAAGAATCCCGACCATTCGAGACCGCATTCGAAATTTAGCCATCTTGACAAGTGATCAAGTTTAACGACCTGTAACCGAAAAGGGAGAGTCGACGGTTCCGACCTCCCTGGCGGTTCACACTTTTATTATTGATTTTTCTTAGTTGGACGAAAATTGTCTTGGAACAAAGTGTCTTCATTCAAATAGAGAAGATTCACAGTTCCCAGACGAGTATTCAAAGAGACGAAAATTTATAGAATTCTGCAGAAACGCATTCTATAAATTGTGTTGTTGTTGTCGTATGTCGGGCGAGATTTCCGATTCACAGGTAAGTTCTCGTTCTTTATACAATCCTTTAATTAAAGAAGTTTATAATTAAAAGTTTCTGCGATTTTAGAACTGCGAATTGGAAAATAATCCGACACGTTCTCAAATTCGACCAAATTCGTCAAAATATAATGAACACATTCTTAATGGCAATTACGAGATTACAGAAATAGGAAAGGGCAATTTCGGCAGTTTTTTTGGCTCGATGTAAAAATTCAGATGAAAAACTGGCTTTGAAAGCAGTCAAGATGGAGCGCTTTTGTCTCTCACAGGTATGCTTTAAGCTTTGTTTTCGATTGTAATACGGCGTGAAAAAACAGAACATGTTTATTAAATTATTCTCTACTTCAAAAATCATTAATTCACACATCATTTATGATATTACACGTTTATCAAAATTTATTTAATTACTGATGATGCACTAAGCGATGTTCTACAAACATTAAATAGAAATATCTACAGAATATTCTTAGTTTAGTGTAGGAATATATTAAGAAAATGTCTTTATTTATAGAGGCGCATAATAAAGAAAGAAAAAACTGCATGGACGTCCGCATCGAGCCATCCTCATATTGTGACGTTAATAAGTTATTTCAAAATGAATACAAGGTAAATTTTAACCGTTCTGATTTGATTTATTGAGAATATTTTAGGCTTTATGGACTAATAATTCTTTTCTTTAGTTTCTGTTAGTGTCTCCGACTACGTGGACGGACTGGACTTGACAACTTACTTACAATACAACGAATTTCTGAAGGAAGCCAAAGCGAAAATATTTGCTGCTCAAGTGGCTTCGGCCATCACGTTTATTCATAACAAATGTGCTTTTCTAAATATATTTCTTTATTTATTTCTTCACAAATGCAAATTGTATGACGAATTTGTTTCTGTCTTCGACAAGAATAATTCATAGGGACATTAGCTCCAGCAACATCATGTTAGATAAAACCAAAGAAGTACAGTTAATCGATTTCGATTTGTGCACAGTAAGTATTGTATACTGTAATATCCTAAGTTTCGCAGAGGTACGCATTTCATGCGACATTGTCGTTTCTTTCAGTCAGTATGAACGAAATCCCTAAGACTATTGCGGGAGTTTGTTCTATCTTTGTCCAGAAATTCTTAAGAAAAAACTATACGGTAAGGTGCTCTATTCGAATTTAATCGAATCATTTCGTTTAACTCTTGTAATTAATATGTATTACGTTTAGATGCTTACTGCGATTGGTGGGCGTTTGGAATCATATTACACCAAATGTTAATTGGACAGACTCCAATGGATATTTATGTGAAAAAAATTAANGTGTTGTGAAATTTCTGATAGTTGGATAATAAACCGTTTTATTGTAATTTGTCTTTTTAAATTATTTTGAGTCGATATTAAAATTTGGAAAAGGGGGATACCTAGATCGGTAAAATAGGCAAATTTCCTCTTAAAACTTCGGTTGTTGCTCGGGATACAGTTAAAATTTTAACAAAGTTCGAGCGAATACATAATTAGCAAAAAAAAAAAAATTGTTGAAATAAAGTGATTGAACAAAAATTATTACAAATATCATAAATAACAGTTAACAAATGCATATATAGAGATATTTTTTGGAGGGGAGAAATGGTCTTCACAATTTGAAATCGATCGAACACATGGCTCGTATAAACGCGCGCCATCTATCGTAGGTTAAATGTACTATGCTGAAGTGTATTAAAAAACTACCCAAAGTTTTATGGCAATCGTACTATGCCAGAAACCTTCGCAGGAGTATATTAAACAACTTCCCAAAGTTTCACGGCAATCGGATAAACGGTGTGGTAATGCATGAAGGACAGACAGACACACACACACACATACATTCATTTTTATACATGTAGATTAAATCTCGAAGTATTAAATGTTAGTATTTATGTTGTTTTATAAGAGAATCTCATATACAGTAGAGCGTCTTTTATCCAAATCAATTGGGGACTGGGGTTGTTCGGATAACAATTTTTCGGATAACGAATCATGTACGAAAAAATATATTAATTTATCCCGTGTTGAAATTTTTCTCCGTTGCGTGTCGCTTCGCGTTGAATTTTTGTCGATGTTAAGCCTAACGAAGACTATTGCATCGTTAAAAATTATTTTTTAATTTTGTACAAACAAAATAAATATATTGAAAAAATATAAAATTAATAAAAAATTATACTTCAGAAGTTAATTTAGTATCAAAAAAGTAAAATATTTGAGTAGCCCAAGAAATAGCCAAAGATTGCAGCGCCACAACACTGGCGAAAATTTAAATTTGTTGACTGGAATTATTTCGGATAACCGACCTTCGGATAAACGACGCTCTACTGTATTTCATGCAGTTAATAAGAAACGCATTCATTTAACAACATAAATACATTTGAACACACTTTCTGAATAATTAGGTGAATATTTGAATAACTAATTCAGTTTGTTTAATCAAACTGTTGAATACTGAATTTTAATGTTTGTGATAATCAAATTTTAATGAGTGATCATAAGCTGAATAACTTACTGTAATACAAGTTGACTTTGAAAGTTTACAGATAAAAATATAATTAAAACAGTATCAACTGTTGTAATTAATTTTTATGATTTCTTGTCTTTTCAGGATCCGAACAAACGTCTTCAAGAAGGAGACATCTGAATACAGATTTTTTGATGATGTCTTTTAGCCCGAATCAGTTCACACTTGACTGATTCAATATATAAATATTGAAAAGAATTGTTTTTCAAAATGATATTTATTATATGATTTTGTTAATTATAATTATTTACATGTTAGTTGTATGATTTAACTAATCGTTCGGAATTGAACTTAATTGCGTTCAATCGTTTTTGGTAGTTTGTGTGTTGGATATTGTACTCAGTGGCGTAGCGTGGGTGTCAGCCGCCGGGGCGGAGGAAAATTTCTCCACCTCCTTATTTAGGTATCTCGTGTGAGGATGTAAGTTCTTTTGTGAGTTTTAAAGTTAAAACACATTTTTTATTATTTATTATTATTTCCCTTCTTCCTCCAGTATCGTCTTTTTAGGAGGTCGAAGTTAGACCTTTTCACTCATCAGTGTACTGCGTCACTTCGAAAGGTGACTTTCTAGGCTCTCAAAGACGTTTAGGACGACATATAAAGTTTTCCCCTCACACTCGGAGATTATTCATTTTTACCTTTGTTTCGATGTACAGATAATCAACCAATTAAAAATAACCTCTACTTGTTACATGGATGTTATAGCTGTTACATAGACAACTGAACTTAGATGGTGACAAAAATGTCACCGACAAAGGTAGACCGAACCGAAACCCCTCTTCTATTCCGTTCGATGTGAACGATGAGAAAACAGATCAAGATGACCATAAAAGGCAACAATCATCACCCAGTGCACCACAGATACTCTGACCTTAGCCACCTGTGGCAATTAATTTAGTTAGTTTGACAGCTGTTGTCAAATTTATGATGAGAAAGTGTCACAATAACGGGTAGAAAAAGTAATAAATCTAAAGTATGGTTCGATTCCTGACAAGTAAAGTAAACAAACCCTTGACGCAAGTCGAACTTACATGCGATTGCATCAGATTTTCCCCGATAAGTCCCCCTCCGGGACGTGTATAAAAAGGACTTGGACACAGTCCTCCGGGCGGACATCAACTGCGGACATCAACAGCAGTCAACAGACCCATACCGCCACTCTGTCCGTCGCCGTCTTGTTATACTAGCCGTCTCTATCCCAAGATGACCAGATGACCACCTCCCAGGTCCACGATAGTCCCAACGACGTCGTATACCCGTCGTATACCAGACTTAGAGGTATTTTTCAGAAATCTATATGTAAGCTCTCTCTCTCTCCCCGAGAAGTCCCTCTTAGAGAAGTCTCTCTCGTCTCTCTAAGTTTAACTTCGAGAATAGAACGTAATCGTTTCATTGGAGAGACGAATCATTGTCGCGACTTAGAATAGGGTTTCTAATTATTTCTATTTTTTGTAGCTTTTCGCTATTGCATTTGATATGTATAATTTTATAGTAGTTTATTTTTGTTTAACCTGTGTATTTATTTGGGAACCTGTCGACTTATTCATGACCTCCCCACTCACATTTATCCCTCCGAAAACCATCCTCTGACAGAGCCGTCGATAAGTGGGGACAACTAACCCCCTCGGTTCTCACAATTGAATATTGTACGATAAGCATTTGTATTGTGTGGTGGATATTAAAAAGAATCATGTAGGTTTGTATGGCGAATTGTCTGAACAAGCGCGAAGACGCGGATAAAGAATACAAGAATAGTTAAATCCTGTATCAATAACACATCTAATACAAAAGATATATAAAAAATACAATAAATCAGTGGAGTGCCGTGACATTTGATAGTAGGAAAGCTGTTTCTGTAAGAAGCCGACTTCCAGGGGCAATCAGTTAATTGCGCGTCAGTGATGGTCAAGGGTCCATTCGTATCGTTTGTTCGATAAGCCAGTAAAAACCGTAGACTTCTCTAAATGCATTTTTAAAATCACAATTACATTCCGAATCGCTAGCCACGATATAAGGGCTACAATTAAAAATAAAATAATAAAAACTTACTTGGTGAAATAAAATGTGTGGTGGATGTACAGTACATACTGGTACAAAATATTCTTCAATTATATTAATATACTTTTAAAGAAAATTATAATTAAATATAGCTTTGTAAAGAAACATACATAAAAATAACATAAAATCTTCTTTACTTTTTAAATCTTAAAACAATCCACTTATTCAAATAGCTCCCTACGAGTGACTAATGGATGGAATCAGAGACGGTCCTGGTAGGTGCATGCACGCGGGCTGCCAAATCCCGAGGGTGCCGATACCGGTCAATGTCAAATGCCTCTTTTGTCGCATCACTAGTATACCTCAAAAGACGCGACAGGGTTCTTGTAAATTTTAAACATTTCTCACCATAGCTGTAAAAGTCTAAATATGTTAAACTTAATAGATTATCCGTCGTTTGTTTTCTAACTAATTCGTTTTAGGACCAGGTGTTNCACTTATTCAAATAGCTCCCTACGAGTGACTAATGGATGGAATCAGAGACGGTCCTGGTAGGTGCATGCACGCGGGCTGCCAAATCCCGAGGTGCCGATACCGGTCAATGTCAAATGCCTCTTTTGTCGCATCACTAGTATACCTCAAAGGACGCGACAGGGTTGTTGTACTGTACATTTTAAACGCTTCTCACCATAGCTGTAAAAATCTAAATACAGTATGTTAAACTCAATAGATTGTGCGTCGTTTGTTTTCTAACTAATTCGTTTTAGGACCCGGTCCACAAAAATTTCCAAATTTTACAAGTTTTCGGACATTGTCATTGAACTGGAAAAATTTCTCTCTTTATTACATTTAATATTACGAAGAAATCAGTCCCCACTGTACTCGACTAGAGATTGGTTCGGTTAAGCTTCTGTTTAAGTAAAATTTCGGCTCTTTCATCAGGGTTTTATTTATGTCACCAATTCTCTAATCGCTTAATTATTTAACTACTTAAGTAGAAATAAGTCGAAACCAGTTACTTTGTACTCGAATATTTGTAGTCTCGGGAAAAAAGTGGGAAGACAAATTTTTATGACAACGGATACATAAATCGTAAATTTAAGGAAAATAAATTCTAGAGCTTTTTCTGTACCTCGGGCATCTCTCTCATTCATTAACTTTAGCTGTAAATGACACTGTCAAAGTAACAGTTAATTTTTTAACATTGTACAAAAATTGTACACGTTTTTTTTTCTACATCCCCTTAAAGATGAGACATACGAAATCGTAATATCACTGGTTTAACATTGAAATCCGTCAGTAATATAAAATCGGAGAGCGGAATAAATAGGCCTATATCAAATATTTTAATGGATTTTTTTAAAACTTCTGTCAACTATACAGAACTATCGTAAAAACATACCAGTAAATTCTTATAGGTTGGGTTAAGTCAGGGGTCGCCAAACTTTTTTAACCGTCGACCCCCAACCACTTTTTAAAGCCTCACATCGACCCCCACCGTAAATTTTATGACAAGTGTATGTGTATGAGCAAAATGAAAATAAAAAAAAACGTTGTGGTCTCTGTATTAGAAAGAAACAAAAAAAAAAAAAAAATTGAGAACCCTTAGTCGCATCGACCCCTCAATCGACCCCCTGGCCGCATCGACCCCCTAATCGACCCCCTAGCCGTATCGACCCCCCCAATGATGTTGCATCGACCCCTAGGGGTCGATATCGACCACTTTGGCCACCCCTGGGTTAAGTTATAAATCTACTCGTTATTCACGTAATCGGCCAAATATCTAGCTGGCGGGCGGCTAACAGCCCAGAACCGGTTCCGTATAGAATTGGAAACGTTATATGTGTAGCATCAACCGAAGGTCGTAGGCTTCCACCAGCTAAACTGGGTGAGGTTGGTGCTCTGTAAAGCGCATGCATAAATCTGGCTTTTTGGAATTTGACAATACAGAGATTCCACTCCGCCACTAATATTCAAATATACAATAGCGATCTTATTTTTTTTTCACGTGTAGTATAGAAGTTTGTAATAAGATACGTAATGCGGTTATAAAAAAATATTGTGCGATTATTTTCGTATAATTAAAATTAATGTGTTTATTTTTTAGAAAATACAAGTGAAGCGGCGCATCAACCGCTTCCAATGACGGCACGCCACTGCAATAAATGCACATGTTATTCGGTTGTTTATAAATTAAATACAGTCGTAGCAACTATTTTCCTTAAAAAGACCTCTCGGAAGGCATCCCTCTACTCAAATCGTTTAAGTGTTGCGTTGTCATAACTTATCAAAGAAAAACAGATAAAAGACACGGTTTCAGAATACGTCACTTGTCATAATTCGAGTAAAGTTGGTTTTAATGAAGGGTTTACTCGTTATTAGCATTTACAAATTTTATAAAACTCATGATCACCGTCAAAATTGAATTTTTTGTCAGTTTATAATAATTAGTAAAGTAAAAACATTTTTGTAACAAAATCTGATAACAGATGGCGCTACCAAAGTTTTATTATACAGTAATCCGTATACAGTAGAGAGTCGATTATCCGAATCAATATGGAAATGGAGTTGTTCGGAAAATACATTTTCGGATAACCGATTATGTACGAAAAAATACATTATTAATATAAAATATTAGTATATCCCAATAATAGTATATTAATATATCCCATGTTTAAATTTTTCTCCGTTGCGTGTCGCTTTGCATCGAATTTTTTTCGATGTTAAGCCTAACGAAAAATTTTATAATAATAATCGTGGCTATTGTATCGTTAAAAATTATTTTTGTTTTGTACAAACAAAATAAATATATTGAAAAATATTTTTAAAAATATACTTTAGAAGTTAATCTAGTATCAAAAACGTTCGATTCAGCATGACACAATCCAACTGAAACGCTTTCGGTTAACCGACGTTTCGGTTGATTGACATTCGGATAATCGACGCTCTACTGTACATCATTGAGATGGGTTGAAAATAATAATAATTATAAGCTCAGAGCTCAAACGGTTAGGAGTTGAAGGTTGAAATTTGGTACACGGTTAGGGTACGTCATGAGAGCGTACAGTACAGTACACTAAGAATGAATTTTTCGAAATTTAAAGAAATAAAATTTAAAGAATTAAAAGAAATAAAAAA